TGGTGTTTTTTTTGTTGTTGCTGGGAGCCTATTCTCCCAGACACTTAGCAGACAGTGCAGATGAGGCCATTTGTTCCGTCCCCTCGTTAGCCAATGACAGGCAGTCTCTTCCTGATGTAATCATTGGTCATTAGGAAAAGGCATTAATTCTGTTATTTACCGTAAACTCTGTATAAAGTATTTATACTCCTGTCTGTGTCTGTGACACGCACAGCTGAACAGTAACCAGAAATTTCCAATTTGCTAGGTGAACACGGGCCACCGGTCTGATTGGGTTTTAATGATTAATGAGATTTTATCTGACTTTCTTTCTAACCCTCTTGGCTGGAACCCCTGGCTCACAGCAGCTGCAGCGACACGGACATGTAAAATATGTCTGAGTCTGAATAAATCCATTGTTTTAAGAGATTGTGGTTTCAAAATATTGACCTGCTTAAACAAACATGGAAGGTAGATATATCACTCACTAGACAGATGAATAAAGCTTTTATAGAACTTTGCAATGATCTGCCAAATTTCCACAGATTGCTTAGAATCCTTACATGATATTTTTTATTTAATGTAGGATTTACTGAAATGAAAGACACAGAAAAGTGAAAACATCTCATCCAAGTCAAGTTAATTTAAAATCATATAGCCCAATCAACACACGACATCCTTAAAGAGGTGGTATTATGCTCATTTTCAAGTTCAAAATCCTATTTAGTGGTTGTACCAGAACAGGTTTATGTGGTTTAATTTTCAATAAACACCATATTTTTTGTCATAGTGCAACTTGATGCAGCTCCTCTTTTCACCCTGTGTTGAGGGCTTCGTTTTAGCTATGGAGTGATCATCTTGTCTCTATATGATCTTTGTTGGGAGTTGCACAAGCGCAGTTCCTAGTTAAGGATTACTAGCCAATCAGAAGCAGAGAAAGGCGGGTCAGCGAAAAGATGGTAAACAGCTTCGATTCAGCTGTAGGCTACATGTTGCCAACCAGGTTGGCAATTTGGACTGGAGCAAGAGTTTCAGAGTGGTGAGTTATTAATCTGTAACAAAAGTATTTTTCATCCATAAAGTTTTAACTGAGCTCTGTCTCTACATCACAGTAACAACTTCATGTCCATTGACTGCTTGGAGGGTAGCTAGTGTTGGAAGGGAGAGGAGAGGTGTGTGCTGCAGCTCAGTGTTTTTCCACCGGTGTTATTGAGGGCGTGTCGGACTAGTCGCTCAGTGAGCATTATGATACGTATTTTCATTGTGACGTCACAAGAAAGGGAAGTAAAGGCTAGACTACAAACAAGCTGTTTCCAGGCAGTTCAGATCAGTGTTTTCTGTGGGAGATGGGAACTCCCTTTGGGCTGGACTGTGGGCTTTTTCACTTTGCAAACCTAGTACATGCACAAAAAAGATATATAACTCTATAAAGGAGAGGGAAAAAGCCAAAAACCATAATACCACCTCTTTAATTCTTATACCTCGGTTCAGATAAGGAAAAAACTCCCCCCAACAGACACAGACAGCAATGACGTGCAATGGATTGCATGTTGCATGGACAGAGACATGGAAAAAAAACAACAGTAAAATTCAACACATTTGTTGAAATAATGCTTCCTTTTCTCAAAATGCTAAAAACAAATCCATAACTTCTCACCCAATTCCCAAACTTTCTATTTTCAGGTCAAAATGTAGCTCTCAACTCAAAACGATTCAATCTTGCTGAAAAGCCAGACTTTGCCCTCAGACATGACACACAAGCCCTCAAAAACACACACACTACACCACAGTCTTACACACTAGTGAGATAAATGCAAAACAATACTGCAAAAACTATAAGAATGTGCTCGTGGTTCTCCCCCTCAAAAACCTTTTCACATGATACAACACAACAAAAGAAACAACAAATGTATACTGTACACATGAACATTTTTGATTCCTTAATGTGCTGTGTAGTACCATACACCAAACAACAACAAAAAATTATTCTGCTCCAGCATCACATCTCTGGTCTGGGATAGGCCAGAGAATCTCGTCCTCCACCTTCTCCTCCTCTTCCACCTCCTCCTCTTCCTACTCCTCCTCCACCTCCTACTTTTCCTCTTGCTTTACCTATTCCTCCTCTCCATTCTGCTCCTCCTCCTACTCCTCTCCGGTGTCCTGGACCTTTTCGTTCACGTCGCTCTGGATCCATTGTTCCAAAACTGAATGAACGGACTTGGGCCCTTTTATCTATCTATTGAAGGTTGTGATTGGTGTGTTATCAATTATGTCTCTTTGTGTTTTCACTCAGGTAGCTGTGTGCTAATTTAGCTCAAGATTTGTTGACTTGAGTGAACAATATTGAATGGTAGTGCTTAGGCTTGTACCGATTGGCGATTGGATCAGCTATTGAGGATTGAAGGGATGATCAGCGATTGGTTTTTCATCCGTCAATATTACGGCGATTTTAACTAACTTACTATCAGTACCTCCACTTGCTCGCTCGCCCTCTCTCACAAACACATTGAAAGTGAGCAGTCTGTATATAGAAAAACTAATGGATTCAACTCTGAGAAGTTAGTTTATCTATTTTCTTAACACAACTGTAAATCGATTGTGGTTCAGCAGAATTTTCTTTCTGCATGGAGATATTTTTTAGCTTTTGTCAGTTACCTTAAAAAGGCACATTAACACACTTTATTAGCATTCTCAATCAAAACCTCGTTAGCAAGTGGACAAGAGCAGCCATTAGATAGAGAATCTTAACTGCACCAATTCCAACAAGCCATTAATGTGATTAAATGCACTGTCGATACAGAATCTTTCTCAACACACTTTTGGCAAGTGCCGAGTGAACAAACAACAACTCAAAGTAAAACTCAAAATGATGAAATGTCAAGCTATCCTTCTAATCTATCCTTCTATCTAATCTTGGTTAGAGGCTTGTTTAGACGCAGAATAGCAAGCCTGCAGTCAATCTATTTTGGGGCAACTAGCACAGACTGAAAGTGTCTGCTTAGCAGCAAGTTGGAAGCATTGTGTTCAGTGTGCTTTTGACATGCCGTGCTGTGTGTGTGTGTGTGTGTGTGTGTGTGTGTGTGTGTGTGTGAGAAAAAGATAGCGTACCTGACAAGCTGTTCTTTTGTTGTGAGTGTAGGTGTCAACTGCACTGTTAGTACTAATAGCAAGACCCCAGGGAGACTAGCTTTCAGCTCTGCGCCAGCTAATAGGGATCCGAACGAACAAAATGTAACCAATGTAACCAGTCTGTGTTCTGCAAAATGTTTTTGTCAACTATTTTGGTAATTGATTAGCCGTTTTAGTCATTTTTGAAGCAGATGTGCCAAGTGCCTCTGTTCCCAGCTCCCTAAATGTGAGGATTTGTCTTTTATCAAACTGAAATGAATATCAGCTTGAGAGTGTGTCATTATGCGAAGGGGCATGTTAAGAATAATGACAGTAAGGATTGCACCCTCTCAAATGTGTCCAGACTTATGAGCCGCAGTGTCACTACAATGCTCAGTGTGTGTGTGTGTGTGTGTGTGTGTGCAGGATAGTGACCATAATGAGATTTATTCTATCACAGTGGCTAAAACAGAAAACAATGCATTGTCAAAGAAATATGCTTTATTGCTTGTGTTTCTGTGTGATTTGATGCTTTATGGAGAGTAAATAAATGGAGTGGAGCTCGGGAAATACTGATAAATAAGGACTGGGAAAAGACAAAATGGGAAACACAGGCAGATTCGAGGACATGTGTGAAGTGAGATGAGTGAAAATCCTGTAAGAGAATCAGAGCCAACGAGTAAGAATCCTCGAGTGGCGGAGAGAGAGCAACCCTCTCTTCTCCCACAAGTCTCTCCTTCCAAGTATGCTTTGCCCAGGGTTACCATGGCAACGCTGAGTCTTCCGCAAGCTGGCCACACTCACACCTTTTGCTCATACAGTAAGTGTGTACACAAATACTGTAGCACCTGAACAGCCTAGTGTATAGATCTGAACAGAAACACACACATAACCAACAGTAAAAGCCTCTACTGTAATAAACCCACTCCAGCTTTGAGAAGCAGAGAAAATACAAGGTACAAGGCTGTTTATTGGTCATTATACAGTACAAGGCTGCATAACGATATTAAATTCGTAGTTCATTCGTGCTACACACACACACAACATATAATTTAGTGTAGGCCTACATTAAAATATGGTAACGTATAAAATAAAATAAAATAAAACAATACAGTTGTTTATATACATACATACATGTAAACACCCCGACCATTCCACAGTGCATTTTTTGAATTTGCATCTGGGGTGAATGTAAACAGCAACAAACAGATGATAATATGAAAGTTTCATCCTCACAATAAACAGTCTGACATTTGGGAAACAGAGTTCATCTAAACTGCGTTTGAGCACCAAGCATCATCGATGTAAAACACAGATTCCACCTCCTCTCATCTTGCCGGAGCCTTGCTCCTTTGACTTAACATACTGTATGACAATTTTTAAAATTTTCTGATATTTCATAAAACAAATAATTAACTGCTTAATCAAGAAAAATAATACACTTTAATTGGTAATAAAATTATCATATCAGAACCACATTTTACGTTTCATGTAAAAAAAAAAACACAATCCGTTTAGAAATGTGGAGACTGAGATGTTTACTGAACAGGAGAAAACGGTTCCAAATGTGCAATTACATATTGCAATGGGCTGATCTGTATGCCTGAAATAAGGGCATTGAAGTTTTATTCCATCTATCTCATCTCCTCCCCTCCCACACAGAGCAAACCCTTCACCTGCTGGCTGGTTAATTATCACTAGAAGCTATTTCAAGCCTTACTGGTCGCACTGCACTGAAGAAAAGAAGATCTCATTGACTGAATAGATCACAGAACACACAGTATAGAGTATTTGTTCCTAAATGTGTTCAACTGAAGACTTGAGAGTCTCCATACCAGGGTTTTCTTTATTTACCATATGAATATTGGACTGAAAATAAATCTGAAGATCTGAAAATCTCTTCCTCTCTCCAGCCCCCAGATAAGGAAGGCGGTCTGCCGAAGCAGGTGGGCAACAAGACAGAGTGCGGCCTGCTGGGATTGGTCTTGGACCTGAAGCGGGATTACCAGCAAATAAGAAACCAGCTCCCAGAGGAGAAGCTTTACAAAGTATACACTTTCAACTCTGTCAGGAAGTCCATGAGCACTGTCACCAAGTTGGCTGATGGGAGCTTCCGCATGTACAGCAAGGGAGCCTCTGAGATCATCCTCAAAAAGTTAGTCTGGTTTTGTGATTAAAATGAGATTAATCTGGTAATAGTTGCAGCACATAACCTTGTTGTACAGTAATGTAATACCAAGTGCTGAATTTGTATAACATGTATAGAAAATCCATTTTGAGTGCATAATGGACTTGAGGGTATAACCTATTGCACATTCTCTAGGCAGCGAGAGTGGGCAGAGTTTCCACTGAAAGGTCACATAAATGTGACACTTTACAGTACATTACAATAACAGCACAGTAACAAATGAGTAACCCTCAGAAAAACATGATAAACAGGTAAAAAGTTCCCTCCACCCACTTAAGGGATGAACAGAAATTATCCTTAGACAATGAATGATTAAAATGAAACATTAAATTCAAACTAACAATAATCTTTTAGGTTTCTTAGCAGTTACACTGTGGATTTAACACCTTTAACATCAATACAGATCAAATACCTTAATTTGAGGTATATATAAGGTTATTTACATATTTTTGTAAAATGGCTTTTACACGAATTATAGTTAATTTGCTTAATTTACAGCGGGTGAATTCAATCTAGCTCTTTGTGTTGTATTTTCCATTTGTGTGTTCATTTATTTAGCTAATGAGAATTAATTGACTGTAGATCAGATGTATTTTGGCTGCAGTATTAATTTAGGTGGTGCTGTTGGTTCACTGTCATGGCCCACATTTAACAGCCAGGAAAATTGCAATATACAGTATCTTTTATGGAGTCAGCATGGGATTATATCCTGGTCAAAATCAGTCACAGATAGCTGACACAACATTTTGTAGATGTTCTGGCGCTTTGAATCGTATCACATGATCCTCATTAGCTGATGGAGTTAAAAATAAATAACTCACAAACAGTTACATATCTGTGAAGAAGCTAGATGATATTTTTAAAGCAATATTTTCACATTTTGGGAAATTCCCTCATTTTTTCTTACCAACAGTTCCATGAAAAGATCAAGGCCACTCTCATATCTGTCCATTAAATGTTAAGATACAGCCAGCAGCCGCTTAGCTTAGTTTAGCATGAAGTGGCAAATTGTTGTTTTTACTGTTCGGTTTTTGTACAGATTAAGCAAGCTAGATATAACGTGTTAATCAGTGAGCTTTAGGGGTGCTTTAGGGGTGAGTTTAGTCTTTATGCAAGAAAGCATATTTCCCCAAATGAATTAGCGTATTTCCCAAAATGTCAAACTGTTCCTTTAAGTGTGCATGTTTATCCAACACTGAGGAAGCACTGATCATGATCATTTAGACCAAAATGTTTTCTGTTCATCCAAAACCACTACTATTAAAAGATTGCATTTTACATTCTGTATTTTCTGAAGTGGCTGCACATCTTCTATGGTTTTCCATGTTGGCTCATTTTAAGATAACAATAATGACAATTCCAAAGTTAAAATACATGATTTAAAATACTCCCATCCCACCTCTCCACCCTTAATCACAGATGCAGCTTTATCCTGAACGAGGTGGGTGAGCCGAGGGTTTTCCGTCCACGGGACAAGGACGAGATGGTGAAGAAGGTGATCGAGCCCATGGCGTGTGATGGCCTAAGGACCATCTGCGTTGGGTACCGTGACTTCTCTGGCAATCCTGAGCCCAACTGGGACGATGAGAACAACATCCTCAGTGAACTCACAGCTATCTGTGTCGTCGGGATAGAGGACCCCGTCAGGCCAGAGGTATGAGGGTGTGAGACATTTTGGTGACATACTGAGAGTTGGTGTTGGGCAAATCGGCTACACATGCATGAGTTCTCTCCTGTCCCTTGTTTTTAATATTTTCTAGATCTTAAAAGACATGTCCACAGTTTCTACTGTGATTCTTGTGTGTGACACCAGGAATGACTTAAGTATCATACAGTATATCAATCATCTATCCTCTATCAACCTACTGTATCAACTGTCTATACGATACTTGCAGTTCGTGCCTACAGTTGGGAAGGTATTTAGGCTTTTCTACATACAGGTCTGTACTGTAATAACTGAGACAGTTGACCGAGAAACATCCTAGAAATGATAGACAGCAAAGTCAGTTACATCCTGTTTGTCAACACTGTGTTCAAAAAAAGACAACAGTAAATAGTCATTTTTTTGAGTAATGGCATAGAACATACCTTGCTGTTTCAAGAGCAGACACACTGTACAACTGTTAAATATTATATAGATAAATTGTGTGCCATTAAATGGGTATTATATAAATAGATTATCATTTAATAAAAATGTAATGTCTTTCTTAAAATATAAGAATGAAATTTATTGAGAAAACTTTACCATAAATAACAACTCATTTAAGACTGATTCAGACTGTGAGAGAAGTGCTTGTGTTTTTCAGTGCAATACAGTTTGGTGTAGACCCCTAATTATAATATGTAAGCTTCTTAAAGAACTTTATGTGTGTAATGTCAGAGAATGAAATCAGTGTTTCATGACTTAATTGACAAACTTTTACAGTATAAAGTCAAAAAAGTGGGTAAAAAGTCATATAGGAGCAGAATCTCCCCTCAATTGCCTCTTAAATGCATTTTTCTGGGATTGTTAGTAAGCATCTACTCTGTTGGCAAAGTTAATCCGGTGAAGCTCCTCTCTGGGATGGATCTCCAGCTCCTTTCCTGTGATCACTTTTGTAAAATTACTCTCTTGTTTATATCAGACTTGAAGAAATCTCTGAACAGAACAGAAATATTTGAATTTGATGTTATTTCAGTTATGAAAGCTCACCGAAACGGGCATTTATTAATAATTATATTATTACAATACATTTTTTCTGTTGACTTGTTTGTCATATAAATTGACAAATAGAAATAGAAATTATAATATCGGATCTTAACAGGAGGAGAAAAGAGTGACAAAAGCAGCCAGACTCTGGTGACAGTAGCAGCCGGCATAGTGAGTTGACAGAGAGGGATGATGTGTTATTTGAAAGACTTGGCATTAGTGTGTTTATGTGCAGCACAAGGTTGCATAACAAAATGAAATTTGTAGTACCTTTGTGCTACACACACAACATATAATTAAGTGTAGGCCTACATTAATATATGGTAACAAAAAAATATGGTAACATAAAATAAAACAATATATACAGTTATTGATATACATATGCACATACACGTAAACACTGGATGAATGTAAACAGCAGCAACCAGATGATAATATGAAAGTTTCATCTTCACAATAAACAGTCTGACATGTTGTGTTGCAGTTATGATGTTGACACATTCTGAATTTATACTGTATTATAAAGATTATATTTTTATATATTGATTGATTATATTGGGTCAGACAGCTGTAGAACATTACGGATATACAGTGCTAGATATTCAGGCGTGGACCTGTTTAAAACAAAAGCAATCCACCTGGGCCATTGACAACATAGAAACATTTTTTGTATGTTAAGGCATCATTGATTTACTTAATTAACTAATTCAGTATTGTTCCTTTGGTTTTATTGCTCCATTTTACTTTGAGGATGTCATTTAGCTCAATTAAGGCAGTATAAATAAATAATTTATAAATAGTAAATCATGCATCAAGAAATTATTTCTTTCATGACGATTTTCACTTGAAGACAAGACGGAATATATTTGGGAGACAGAAAGTTGAGTGGAAAGAGGTACTGTATCAGTGTACAGTAGGAAAACTGACCTCTCTTGACAGTTCCAGTGGAGGTACAGGGAAGCAGGAAGCTAACTGACTACTGCATTATTCAACTTCCTCCTTTCATCTTTTTTTCCATCCCTCCTCTCCTCACTGCCTAACAAGGTCTCTCATTCAGCCTCTATGTGTTTTCTCGTCTGCACCTGTTTCCATATTGTAGAGTTTGACATTCAGGTAGTTCTTTTTTCTTTTTAACTGAACTGTCACAGAGAGAAGAAAGATCTTTTGTATCACCATGTTATATAAAGTTGATTATTTAAGCAAACTACAGAGTTGACATGAAAAGAATTAAAACAAAATATCAGAAATAGCAAGACATGCAATAAAGCAGATTTCTCTAAATGCTGCAATGTTTGTGTGTTACAGTAATATAGTCCCTTGCATTGCTCCAAGGTGCGTAGTTTGTGGCTTTTCCCCTTTTTTCCACCGCAGAAGTCACATCTGACATCTTCAATCTGATGTGGAAAAGCAGTGCACTGAACACTGCACTAGTAACATCTTTCCAGGTCTCTTAGTAAGACTGGCTAATATTGGAAATTAGATGACTTTTCCGCTCTGCTAAAAAGGTCACACAGAGTGGTAAACATGTTTTTGGTTTGTTTATTAGTTTCCAATTTCTTCCTCCTGAATGCGATGTTCTTTTAATAACTGGCTGCTCCGTAGGGTTGCCCCCAGAGAGACAAGAGAGAAGAGAGGAGGGGATGAGAGAGGGGAAAAAAGGAAAAGAAAGAGAAGAGGGAAAGACAGAGGCAGAGAAAGACAAACGGATTCAAAATCCGATTCATGTCAAAGGGATGATGGACCACAGGAGATGGAAGACGGGTAAGGAGAGAAACGGAGGAAAAATAGAGTGTAACCAGACCCTTATTTGAGACCTGATAGGCTTGTTTTTAAGTCTCACCTACTAGCCTCCTACCCTCTTCCTCTGTTGGGCCAGATTGTATTTTTAATAAGCCTCCACTCTTCTCCTCTCCTCCTCTCTCCACCTCCTCTTTCAGGTATCCAGTCAACTAGAGCAGTGCTGCTAATCCAAAGGAAAGAAGAGTAAAACAGACAGCAGGGCTGACAGATAGGCAGATGGGAACTTGATATCTTGATAACAATGACTTGATGAGAAAGCAGGATGTAATAACCTGCTCCACTTGCCACAGTATTGACTGCAAGAGGTTCTTTATTTTGTCAGATCACATTACTTTACACTAACTATAGTTACTATATTAATTCATTACCAACTCTGCTCATGTATGAATCCTGGTGTTAATAGGCCTTTAGGAGCGCATTTGTGAATAATATTGCTGTCACATTAATGAAATATTCAACCTTCTCCTCATTGGGAAATTGGTGCAAAATTATAGCCAGAATTCAAATGTCTTATTTAATATTTTATTTTTATGCAAGTGATAAGATGAAAAGCTAATTTGGCTTCATCGTTCATTGCACTTAAAGTGGGTTGAAGTCAGAAGAAATTGAACACACCCTTGACCTTAATTGGTCTCGTTTAACCAGCAGCTTATGGCGGCTAATGTTAGCAAACTTTAGGTAACTATTGCAATCACAGTGTAGAACAGACTAAGTCAGCTAATAGACTATTTAAGAATTATTGCTACTGTTATAGTTGGTCTTAGTATTAAGTATCGTAAATTTTACTTGTGGCCGCTGTCGAGCTAAAGTTACATAGTCTCACTTCAGAACTATCTATGATGAGCCATAACTAAATCATACGATGTCATACATAGTAGTAGTAAGTAGGATGAAATTATCTGTTTGTTTACTTATTTGTTTAACCTCCAGCTCATTAAGGTCCTGCCCTTCTCCACAGTATAGATTTACTTTGTAATCCTCTCCCTGTAAATGAGTTAAATCCTTTGTGTTTTACATGCATGAGCTGCTTGATTTGGCAGTTTAATGTCCAATATGTTTACACATTGTGGTGGTGGATTCATTTGGTCTTCCATCTAATGTTGTACTATGCTGTGTGTGTGTGTGTGCCTGCTCCCATGTGTATGTGCAATATGCCCAAGTGTCTGTGAGTGTGAAGTGGAAAGTGTGCATATTCCTGCCTCCGTGTTTGTGTGTCAGAGAGGAAAATATAAAGCGAGTCCAAGGCCTGCGTGTATGTGCGAATGGATGTGAGTTTCTGTTACAGTATGTGTGCACACGTTTGTTTATGTGTGGGTTTGGAGAGCAGTGCTCGCCCACACTGACCTTTGTCATGAAGAAGATGCGTTTCTGAATTATTACTCCGCTTTTGCTAGCTGGTTTTCACCACAAATCAATCTTCATACATAATATCTCCTAGTTATTGTACAAGACTACTATCTAGAGGGAAAAGTGCTCAGATAAAATGCACTGTTACACTGTATATCTCATTAGTAGAAAAAGGTACAAAGGCAGCAGAATACTGTTCCAATATAATATAAGCATAATGGAGTCAGATTTGTTTTGTATATGTACCTGTATGTGTTTTGTCTCAAAAATAGCAGTATTGTTGCTATTGGTATGTTCTCAAAGCAGAAATAGCCAATAATTTTCTAGTAATATTGGCTAACATGACTGCTTGTATGTGAATGGAGCTGCTTGAAGTGACGAAGACAACTGTCACCTCAGATCTACAGAACTTTATAGCGCATCAGCTCATTGTTTGAGTTCAGTCTCAGCGCTGTCATACAGTAGCGTTGTCTTTGGCTGTTTCCAATGATAAAGTTCTAAAAGCTGACGTTAACTATCCAGCAGAAGGGTGTCATTTTGTATTGATAATTGGTGGGGAAATAAGGGCTCAGATTAGGGGTGTGATGATGGACTTAGCTCAGAGACGTGACAATGCACACTATTGGTTCACGAGAACAAGATGAGATGTTGTTTTAACACTGTTTTGAAGAAATCTTCAATGCTGCAATGAATGAGTTTGGGGTCTGTGGCTACTCTCCCAGAAAATTTTGAGCATTAAACACTAAATTTCCTGCATTCTGGGAAAATGTTCTGCACCAATTTTTGGTTGGTATTTACATAAAAAGGAAACACAAAATTCTGGTATAAAAATAAAAAAATATATAAAAATATAATGGAACATTATGTAGTAATGAGTAGCTTTTTTAAAAAATCTTAAGTTTACTTAAGTTAAGTTTACTTTTTTGGACAATGCACATTTGTTTCTTCTACATTTACATTGCATTGCATGTTTTCTTATTGTGCAAGTAAACATTTCTTGAGGTTATTTAACATTTTTGTTGCAAGCCATTTTTCAGAACATTTGTAACAAATGCTTTCAGAAAGTGATAGGGACAAAATCAGCCATTTCAAAAAGTGGTGGGGACATGTCCTCAGTGTCCCCAGTGTAAATGACACCTATGATCCAGCACCAAAGGGCAGACTGACAAAGTTGGTCAAAATAGTGGAGCATCTAGCTACAAAGAACCCCCATATTTGTCCCAGGAGTTAGTTGCGACCAAAACGACCAGGTGGCCAGAAACACGACCACAAATTAATGCTAATGTTGTTCCTTGTCTATTAGATGTAAAAATAAGCAGCTGTTTGCTAAATCAACTTTAAAGATGAGATTATGTCAGTGTTGCGTTTACAACTTGTTCTGCTGCCCCCAAGTGGCCAGAATATCAGTTATTGCATATTAATATATATATATATATATATATATATATATATATATATATATATATATATACATATAAATCATTTTGTACATGTGTTTATGTAACACTCTTTAGGTGCCCGATGCTATCCGGAAGTGCCAGCGTGCAGGCATCACAGTGCGAATGGTAACAGGAGACAACATAAACACAGCCAGGGCCATAGCCATCAAGTGTGGCATCATCCACCCCGGAGAGGACTTCCTCTGCATTGACGGAAAAGAGTTTAACAGGAGGATCCGCAATGAGAAAGGAGAGGTACAGTTAACTACTGTCTGTGAGCCAGAGAGCGAGAAAGGCTGAACCCAGGCAAAATAAAGATAGCTCTCTAAACCTAAATCCCCCTAACCCTCTCCTTTTGTTTCTGTTTGTGTGTGCATGTGTGGATGTACACGTGCGAGTCCAGGTGGAGCAGGAGCGTATTGACAAGGTTTGGCCTAAACTCCGAGTTCTGGCCAGATCTTCCCCAACTGACAAACACACACTCGTCAAAGGTGAGCTGGTTTGCCGGTTGCACTATTTCATATTAATTACTGGTGTTCAAAATGATGAAAATCACCCTGATTTAATTTGCTTCACCATTACACCAACACAACACATTTTACCAAGCATATCAATTGTCAAAGTTTTGCAAAGGCAGTAAATAACTGATCAAGATTGTTGTATATACACAAGTTCACGTAGAGTTGTGTTGCCTTTCCTCATTTCCGATGCTGTTTTCAATGTGTGTACACTGCTACATGTGCTGCTTTGTTTATGTGTGTTTGACAGGCATTATTGACAGTACTTTGGTAGACCAGAGGCAGGTGGTGGCTGTGACAGGAGATGGGACCAATGATGGACCTGCACTAAAGAAAGCTGATGTTGGCTTTGCCATGGTGAGCAAACCCTGGTTTCTTTGGAGATTGATATCAGTCAACATCTGCAGATATCTTCTTCACCTCTGCAGTAATTAGGATTTCTTTTCAGGCACTCCGCCTCTGTCTGTGTAGATTAGGAGCTCCCCCTAGTGGATTTGTGAGCTCATGCAATTTCTCTGCAAGACATTCTACTTTTCAGACTACAGATAACAAAAAATAAACAATGCTGATTCTGTTCTTTTTGTAACTCACAGCTTTATGTTTTCTGTGTTTGGCAGTTGTGGTGTTTTCTCTATTTCTGCTCCCCTCAAATAATTTTGCTCACCCAGAGCACCATTTCCTTTCGGTCCAAAAACATAAAGCAGTGGTTCCCAACCTTTTTTGTCATGAGTACACAGCGCTATCAGTACTCCTTCATTGACACCACCTGCTCATTTTAAGTGATTTTATCCTGGTTATTAGTTAACACTATTAATTAGGTAAAAGGAGGTAAGGAAATGCATTGCAATGCAACGGCCTTTTGGTGAGTAACTGAATATAAACATAACTGTTTAAATAAAGAAAACTCCACAGGACACCTTTAATTGGCTATTGTGACAATAAATGTACTATAGACCAGCCTCACACCAAATTATATTTATATATGAGTGTTTATAGTCCTCCTAAACACAGAGCATAATTTGTATTTTACTATGATTTATGCCATGGGTCGGCAAATAAGTCTGGCATCGGGCCAAATTTTTTTCATGGCATTATATGGTGGGCCAGAACAAAGTCAAAATATTTCCAATCATATGCACGTTTAGCTCAGTCGGTACTGTGCGGGACTCCCATTAGGAAGGTTGTAAGATCGCTTTTTACTGCGGATATTTTTTTCTCCCTTGTTAAACAAATTGAAGGGACAAACTGAATAAAAGGACGCTTTTGCACATGCTCACAATAAAGCAGTGTGTGTGCGTTCCAGCGTTTGATCCACATTCATTAAACATATGGACGCTTATTTTCAGAACTCTTCAAAGTAAAAGCTCTCAATAAAGTCGACATAGAGCATTGCTGCAAAAGACATTCTCGTGCTTTTATTTTAGAGGCACAATCACTTAAGAGGAAGTGGCTGGATATTATTGCTGGCGGGCCGGTTCTGGCCTGCGGGCCACCTATTGCCGACCACTGATTTATGCCATGCTGCACCCTTCCACTTGTGCTATAACTCACAAAACATGACAGAATATCAGGAAGGGTGTCCAGCTCCTCCCATAAATGTGGAGTCTCCTCTCATCTAACCACCAACGCACACACACACTGACCCCTTAATTACTATGTCTTATCATTATCCATCATTGATTTAGACAGATTTCTTTCATTTTGTAATGTGGCAAGTTGAGGATTAGTGCAGTAGGATGCGATAGATAATTTGCACATTTAGAATCGCCATACTTGTGTACAAGCAAACCCTAGTTTCTATCTGACAGAACATTTTCTGCTCTCCTCCAGGGTATTGCTGGTACAGATGTGGCCAAGGAGGCGTCAGATATCATTCTGACTGATGATAACTTCAGCAGCATCGTTAAGGCAGTAATGTGGGGCCGGAACGTCTATGACAGCATCTCCAAGTTTCTTCAGTTCCAGCTTACTGTCAACGTTGTGGCCGTCATAGTTGCTTTCACTGGAGCCTGCATCACACAGGTCAGAGGGGTGTGGGCATGGGACTGTATATGCATATGGGGGTGGAGTAGATGAGCAACTTTGCATGAGCAATTATGCAACAGCACCTTCCTGTAGGCAAATACACATCTACGACAATGAAAATACTACTGTAAGTCAATAATAAAACTGGATCCAGATGAAACCATGGTATCCTATGATGTGACTTCTTTGTTCACCTGCATCCCCACCATAGAAGCAGTAGAAACCATAAGGAAACAGCTAACACAAGACAACATCCTGGACAACAGAACTAGCCTCAGCCCTGACCAGATCTGTAAATTACTCGACCTCTGTCTAAACACCACCTATTTCCAGTACAATGAGGGATTCTACAGACAGAAACATGGCTGTGCCATGGGCTCACCGGTATCCACGATTGTGGCAAACATCTTCATGGAAGAAGTGGGCAAAGCCCTCAACTCCTTCAGAGGAACAGCACCGAGCCACTGGTACAGATATGTGAACGACACCTAGGTCAAAATTAAAAGCCAGGAAGTGCAAGCCTTAACAGAACACATCAACTCTGTGGACAGTAATATCAAGTTCACACGAGAAGATGTTCACAACAGTTTGGCCTTCCTGGACTGCGCTGTACACATTGAAGAGGACAGGAGCCTGCAGATTGGGGTTTACAGAAAACCCACACACACAGACCAATACCTACTGTTCGATTCACACCACCCACTAGAGCAAAAGCTAGGGGTCATGAGAACACTGCACCACAGAGCGGAAAACATACCAAGAAGCACCCAAGCCAGAGAGAAGGAACAGAACCACTTGAAGGGGGCACTTACAGCCTGTGGATACCCTAAATGGACCTTTGTGAAAACAGCCACAAGATCCAAGAAGAACAAAACGTCTCGGGTTACGTATGTAACCCTGGTTCCCCGAGAAGGGGAACGAGACACTGCGTCGGTTACGACACTATGGGAACGCCTCTAGGCGAAGCAGGTCTGAACGTGAATGAAATCACTCCAATCCTATTGGCTTGTTGCTAGAACGGTAAGGTGTGACGGAATAACCGGAGGAGTATAAAGCACACCTGTACACACTCATCATTAGCTTAACTATGAAGCAGGCGCTTCAGGCGGGGAGAGAGGTGCGGCGGGCCGACGCAGTGTCTCGTTCCCCTTCTCGGGGAACCAGGGTTACATACGTAACCCGAGACGTTCCCCTTCGAGGGAACTCGAACTGCGTCGGTTACGACACTATGGGAACGAGATACCCACTAAACCGTGCCAAAAACCCCGCCTGCCCCTGTGTGCTATAAAGTGGCACGACTAAGAGGAGAGCGCACGAGTGCCAGGTGCCGAAGGAAGGTCAAGACTGTAAAACCGAATGAATGTGTGCGGAGTGGCCCAGCCAGCCGCTAAACAAACATCCTGCAAGAGGCCCCGGAAAGGAGGGCTCGAGAGGCCGCCATGCCTCTGGTAGAATGAGCCCTCACAGCCACAGGTGAAGGCAAACCACACACCTGATAGGCCAGGGAAATAGTCTGAACAATCCAGTTGCTAATAGTATGTTTGGATGCAGGGAGCCCGGCCCTGGGAGACCCAAAACACACTAGCAGCTGGTCAGCCTTCCTCCAACAGGAGGACCTCAGAGTGTAAATACTCAGTGCTCTGACAGGGCAGAGCAGATGAAGTCTCCCGTCCTCCGCCGTCACATGAGGTGGAGGATGAAATGCCTGCAGCACTGTGGACCCTGCCGCACAAGAAGGCACTTTAGGGATGTATCCTGAATGAGGGTGCAGGATAGCCCTAATATTCCCCGGGGCAAACTCCAGGCTTTGCGGGGAAACCGAAAGCGCTTGGAGATCCCCCACCCTCCTCAGAGAGGTGATAGCAAGGAGAAAGGCCATCTTGAGGGTCAAGTGCTTAGCCTCAGCTGACTCCAGGGGTTTGAAGGGGGCCTCAGCCAACGCCCCAAGAACCACTGCCAGATCCCAAGTGGGAACCTTGGACCGAGTCGCAGGTCTCATCCTCCGGGCACCACGGAGGAAACGTACAACCAAGGGAAGTTTCCCCAAGGACCCCTCCCTCAGAGGGGTGTGGAAAATAGCTGCCTTGTACACCTTGAGGGTGGAAGGGGAAGACCAGCAGAGAACCGGTCCTGGAGGAACTCAAGTACCTGAACCACCGGGCAGGTAACAGGGTCCACCGACCGCTCCCTACACCAAGTGGAGAAAACACTCCACTTCAGGCCGTTCATCCTCCGTGTGGACGGGGCCCTGGAGCTCAGGAGGGTCTCGACTGCTCCGGCTGTTAGACCCGCCTCTAGGTACTGTGCCCCCTCAGGGGCCAGACCCACAGTCGCCATATGGCGGGGCAAGGGTGAAGAACCCGGCCCTGCGCCTGGGACAGCAGGTCTCTCCTCAGAGGGACCCGCCACGGCGGGCCGTCCAGGAGCGACATGATGTCCGAGAACCACACCCGGATTGGCCAGAACGGGGCTACGAGCAGTAGGCCGACATTGTCCTGGCGGACCCGCTCCAGAAAAGCGTACAGACGTAGCCTCGGCCACGAATGTACCATGGTGTCCAGACCCAGAAACCATAGCAGGCAGTGCGTAGTCTCTTGAGACGCAACAGATCCACGTCTATGGGGCCGAACTCTTCGCACAAGAGCTCCACCACTTCGGGGTGAAGTCTCCATTCCCCGGGCCTCAGCCCCTGCCTCGACAGCAGGTCTGCTCCCTGATTCTGCGTCCCCGGGAGATACATCGCCCTGAGCAATAGTAACCTCTGCTGGGACCACAGGAGGATCTGACGCGCCAGTCTGTCCAGAGGGCGCGAGCGCAGACCGCCCTGGTGATTCAGATAGGCCACCACCGCTGTGTTGTTCTCTTCGGAACGAACCAGGACGTGGTGGCCTTGGAGATCGGGCAGGAAACTCCTTAGAGCCTGGAACACCGGCAACATCTCGAGACAGTTGATATGCCACTCGGATTGATGCACCTGCCAGGATCCCCTTGCAAAGCGGCCGTCCATGACCGCGCCCCAGCCCGTGAGGGAGGCGTCTGTCGAAATAACCAGCCGGCGACAAGACCCTCCCAGCACGGGCCCCTGGGACAGGAACCAAGTTTCCTTCCAAACTGATAGGGAACGAAGACACTTGCGCGTAACCCAAATCAGACGGAGAGGATTTCCCCTCGGGGAAAAACCCTTGTTCCTTAGCCACCACTGCAGGGGTCTCATGTGCAGCAGTCCAGATGGTATTACGCTGGACGCAGCCGCCAGGAGACCCAACACTCGTTGAAAGTGTTTCATAGTGATGGCGTGGCCTAACTTCACCCCTTTCACGGCAGCCAATATGGTGTCGACACGTGCCGGAGACAATTGTGCCCGCATCGTTGTCGAATCCCATACAACCCCTAGGAACGTAGTCCGTTGGGTGGGCGCCAGCACGCTCTTCTTTGCGTTGAGCCTCAGCCCTAAACACCGCAGATGAGCCAGAACGACATCTCAATGCCGAACCGCCAACTCTCGAGACTGGGCTAGGATGAGCCAGTCGTCGATGAAGTTGAAATCCGGATGCCCTGGAGCCTCAGCGGGGCCAGTGCTGCATCCATACACTTGGTGAATGTGCGAGGGGAAGTGCCAGGCCGAATGGAAGAACCCGATACTGGTAAGCCACACCCCCGAAGGCAAACCTCAGGAACTTCCTGTGAGAAGGAGGGATGGAGACCTGGAAATAGGCGTCCTTTAGATCTATCGTGACGAACCAATCCTCAGATTGGATGTGCGTCACGGTGGCGGGGATGAGCATCTTTAACCTGAATCTCCTCAGAGACCGGTTAGAACCCGCAGATCCAAAATAGGGCACGCAGCCCTCTGTCCTTCTTGGGGACTATGAAGTACCGGCTGTAGAACCGGCGTCTCTGTCTGGGGGGGAGACACGTTCCACGGCCCCTTTCCTCAGCAGAGTACGAACTTCCTGTCCCAAAACCGGACCTTGCTCCGGGCGGACCACAGTCCAAACCACCCCCTCTCTTCTGTTGAATTTGGAGGGCGGGTTTGAACTGTAGTCGATACCCATCTACAGCAGTGCGCAGGACCCACGGAGAAATGTTCGTCAGGCTCCGCCAAGCCTCTGCAAAGTCTGCCAATGGAACCAGCCCCTCGGGGCTGGTGGTCGGTGTCTCGTGTGATCTTCTGGTGGACCCCTGAAGCCCCAGAACGGCAGGGGGGAGCCGCCGAAGATCCACGGTGAGTGAGTCGGGGCACCGCCTGACTGCAGACCCTTGGGGCAGGCAGTACGGCGTGGACTTGATGGTGGCAGGTGCGTCCTGAACGTGTAAACGGCAGAATAACATCACCTGTTGCCATGGCGGAGGGGACCTCGGTCGGCCTCCGGGGGGGGTGGGGGGGTGCGGGAGGGGAGAAAGACTCCCCTACCCCGGTCTTCCCTGAGCTCCGTCGGGACTGGATGACGGTCCTCAGATCGCGTCTCTCAGACGGCTGAGGGTGAGAGCGCCGTCTCGCTGCCCCAGCTCCTCGGGGGGGGCCCCCGAGAAGCGACACTCTGCTTCCTCTCCTCTCCGTAGGAGCTCGTAGAGGGAAGGGACCTTCGCCTGGCAGCCTCAGCTGCCTTGGGTCCAGACTGGCGAGGGAGGTACTGGCGGAACGCTTCGCCCTGCGTCTAACGCTCCGTGGTTCTGCGAAGCTCCGCCAGATCTTCCTCAGAGGGACCCCCCCTCTGAACCATCTCCTTTAGCAGGTCGGCTTGGTAGGCTTGAAGCACCGCCATGGTGTGCAAGCTCGCACCTGCCTGGCCCGCTGCCATGTACACCTTCCCCACGAGCGTGGATGTGGTGCGACATGGTTTGGATGGTAACGCCGGCTTCTCCAGGGAGGACGCAAGTCGAGGGGAGAGATAGCTCGCAAGCGCATCCTCCACCCGAGGCATCCTCCCATAACCACGGTCCCTAACCCCCATCACATTACAGGAAAGAATGGCAGAGACCGGCGTGGAGGTGGCGTGTGGTGCTTAAGAAACCTTTCATCCAGCTTACCACTAGCCTATGGTGTCTGCTCCTCCTGTGGCCAGTTTATGTTGAGCTTAGCCACGGCTCTAGTCACCACCTCCAGCAGCACGTCATAGTCGGGCGCCGCCAGATGACGCCGCCCCGACACTCGGAAGTCATCGTCCACTACGCTGAGCACGTCCGCCTCCTCGGAGTCGGATTGCTGCAGCGTCTCCGGATCCAAACCGTGAGCGGGAGAAGCCGAGAACGGGCTCCCGAACGAGGAAAGGAAGCGTCGGAGCCAGCGGATGAAGGTCGGGAAAAAGCCTCAGCCGTCCCGAAATCCTCCGACAGATCACGCTGTGAACCCCATGAGTGAAGCCGCCGGGCCGCCTCAGCGGCCGCAGGGCCCGCACCACGGGGAAAACACATCCGGCCATCCTTGGAAAAGAGAGCCATGCTGTACCTCAGTACCCGCACGGAAAGGGCTTCGCAACGGGCGCAGGCAGCCCCCTCGAGAGCTGCCCGGGCGTGCTCCATCCCCAAACATGAGACACACATCTCATGAGAATCTCCATCCGTGATGTACCGAGGGCAAGAAAAAACACTCCTTCTGTACATCTGGTTGCCGGACATGCTGGTAGACTTCTTCTTCAGGTAAGACATACTGCTTGTAGGACTGGAGCTTTCTTCAAACAACATACAGAGCGCCTGCTGAATAGAAAAAAGCTAATGATGAGTGTGTACAGGTGTGCTTTATACTCCTCCGGTTATTCCGTCACACCTTACCGTTCTAGCAACAAGCCAATAGGATTGGAGTGATTTCATTCACGTTCAGACCTGCTTCGCCTAGAGGCGTTCCCATAGTGTCGTAACCGACGCAGTTCGAGTTCCCTCGAAGGGGAACTACATGGGAGGAGGAAAAGAAGCTCAAACGCAACAACATTGTGATTCCATACATGTCTGGAGTATCAGAGAAACTCAGGAGGATTTTCAACAAACACAACATCCTGTGTTTTTTAAACCCAAGAACACACTAAGACAGATACTGGTACACCCCAAAGACCGCACACCCAAACACAAGAAAAGCAATCTAGTGTATGCGGTCCAATGCAGTGAGGAATGCACAGACCTGTATATTGGGGAGACTAAACAACCACTACACAAACGCATGGCTCAACACAGAAGGGCCAACTCCTCAGGTCAAGACTCTGCAGCCTACTTACATCTGAAGGACAGAGGACACTCGTTTGAGGACCACCAGGTGCACATTTTAGACAGAGAAGATGGATGGTTTGAAAGAGCTGTCAAGGAAGCCATCTACATCCAGGTCGAGAAGCCCTCATTGAACAGAGGAGGGGGTCTACGCCACCACTTATTCCCCACTTACAATTTTGTCCTTTCATCACTTCCCAGGAAACTCAACAAATGTAACCTATTGGCCTCAGGTGAAGATACCAACGATGGTCATTCAGTCTTGGCCTCGGGTAGTCCTAATGACTGTAACGACAGCAACCAGGGACACCAATGATCCTGGCAAACGACCCCACTGATGTTAAATAGCTGAGTTTCCCTGCCACTCAGTCAGAACTGAAGAAGTCCTTTGGATGAGGGACGACACGTCTTCCAGTATCTTCAACCAAGTCCAGTTGCCCTTGACTTTAACCTTCGTTTGATAACTATGACCTGGATGACTGAGAATCTTCATAGACATCAATAATAAAAGCACAAAATAAGCACAGACTCAGAATATTGTCACAGTTGCCATACATATAATATCACATCACAGCTTGATGCTTTACACAAATTAATGTTATTAAACACAGATAAGCAAATAAATATAGATAGACAGCCAATATTTGCTAGATTTGAAAAAAGTATTTTCAAATATTTTTAAATGAAAAGTAAAACCACACTAGTAGAAGTGAAGAAGTAGCTCTTTTGAAGACTACTCAGGGTGACATTTACTCAGTTACTAAATAAAAGATAAATTCTTAATATATCCATCTATGGCTGGAATTACTTTTCATGCTCAGCTATTGAGATTGTCATGTCTTGTTGGGGTGCACCTGCTCCGACTGATAGTGCCACTAAAGTCCTTTAAATCAGAACCACTGAAAGGGGCACCCAAGAGTTGGGGCCTGTACCATGTTACAAGTTTGTGTATAGCCGAAAACCTTTAATGCATACCATATTTTCTGGGGTCATAATAAACCATTAGCCCGTAAATTTTGCAATGGCTGACTCATTGTTGACACAACATAGGGCGTTGAAATGGTACATCCTCCTGATTGGGTTATATTATCATTACTGAGGTCTATTTGGTAATTTAAAAGCTGTATGACTGGAAAGGCTGTGCAATTTTTCATCAAATATATTGCAATGCAATGGCTTATTTTAGAGTATGTTGAAATAAATTCTGTGAAATAGTTGATCAGCCATAGTACAGTAGTACTGGTTATTAGTTACTTTCCACCCCTGGTTGTATTAAAGTCATTGGTTTGTAATTGTAATTTCCGTTGCATTTCTCCAGGACTCTCCCCTGAAGGCAGTGCAGATGTTGTGGGTAAACCTGATCATGGATACTTTTGCATCTCTGGCCCTGGCGACAGAGCCTCCCACAGAGTCTCTATTAAAGAGGAAGCCATACGGTCGCAACAAGCCTCTCATCTCCAGCACCATGACGAAGAACATCCTTGGACACGGAGTCTATCAGCTCGTCATCATCTTCACACTGCTCTTTGTTGGTACGGACTATAATTTTGCGCTGCGGAACATCAGGGGTTCTGCACCTTAATGATGTGAAGCAATATGGGTTCAAAGTCAATGACATCATACTAATTGTCTGTCTTTTCCCTCCTGTAGGTGAGCAGATCTTTGACATTGACAGCGGGCGCAATGCTCCTCTCCACTCTCCTCCATCCGAGCACTACACCATCATCTTCAATACCTTCGTCATGATGCAGCTCTTTAACGAGATCAATGCCCGAAAAATCCACGGAGAAAGGAACGTCTTCGATGGTATCTTCAGGAACCCCATCTTCTGCTCTATTGTTTTTGGCACCTTTGCTATGCAGGTAAGCTGATTCAATTATTTGATGTTATGAATTATTCATTTTTGGTTGGTTATTATCATACTGTTAAACTAGATATGCCATGTCAAATTAAACCGTTTTTAAATTATGAAAGTGATTTCTTCTTTTTTTTCCTTTCTCTAATTTTCAATTAATCTATTTTCATGTCTTGCTTGTTTGCTTTATGTAGGTTATAATTGTGCAGTTTGGAGGGAAGCCATTCAGCTGTCAGCCTCTGGACGTGACAAAGTGGTTGTGGTGTATTTTCCTTGGGCTGGGAGAGCTTGTTTGGGGACAGGTAACATCCAAACTCATCTGTTTCTCTGTCTTCCTGTTGTCCCACTGTACTTGCTTTTATTGTAGTTCACCACGTTTTACTCTTCCTCAGTGTATCCCTACTATACTGTATGCTTGCCATCTTTCCTTTTAACCCAGTGCTCTGTCGTCTCTGTGGGTTAGGTGATATCCACCATACCCAACACCAGGTTGCGCTTCCTGCGGAGGGCGGGCCAACTAACTCAGAAAGATGAGTTACCAGAGGAGGACGTAAATGAGGACAATGAGGAGATTGACCACGCAGAGAGGGAGCTGCGGAGAGGACAGATCCTCTGGTTCAGAGGACTCAGCCGCATTCAGACTCAGGTGAGAACACTCAAAGGACAAAGGTTTGATTCACATGTTGCAATTTGTTTCATGTCACAGAGAGATTTTGCTGGATTGATGCTGCCTAAAAGAAAGAATACATGGATATTGGTTTTGTTTGTCACTTAAAGAGGTGGTATTATGCTCATTTTCAGGTTCAAAATCCTATTTAGGGGTTGTACCAGAACAGGTTTACATGGTTTAATTTTCAAAAAACACCAATTTTTTTGTCATACTGCACATTGCTGCAGCTCCTCTTTTCACCCTGTGTTGAAGGCTTCGTTTTAGCTATGGAGTGATGCATCTTGTCTCTAAATGATCTTTGTTGGGAGTTGCACATGCACAGTTCCTAGTTAAGGACTACTAGCCAATCAGAAGCAGAGAAAGGCGGGTCAGCGAAAAGATGGTAAACAGCTTCGATTCAGCTGTAGGCTACATGTTGCCGACCAGGTTGGCAATTTGGACTGGAGCAAGAGTTTCAGAGTGGTCAGTTAGTAATCTGTAACAAAAGTATCTCTCATCCATAAAGTTTTAACTGAGCTCTGTCTCTACATCACAGTAACAACTTCATGTCCATTGACTGCTTGGAGGGTAGCTAGTGTTGGAAGGGAGAGGAGAGGTGTGTGCTGCAGCTCAGTGTTTTTCCACCGGTGTTATTGAGGGCGTGTCGGACTAGCCGCTCAGTGAGCATTATGAAACGTATTTTCATTACGACGTCACAAGAAAGGGAAGTAAAGGCTAGACTACAAACAGGCAGTTTTCAGGCAGTTCAGAGCAGTGTTTTCTGTGGGAGATGGGAACTCCCTTTGGGCTGGACTTTGGTCTTTTTCACTTTGCAAACCTGGTACATGCACAAAAACGATACATAACTCAATAAAGGAGAGGGAAAAAGCCAAAAACCATGATACCACCTCTTTAAGCGGCAGTAAACACCAGCAAGATTAAATTATATCCAGTATGTTTTCTGACATGGCTTTTTGTTTTACCGTGTCTTTGTCTTATAATCAATTTTCTGTAGGAAGTCGAACCCCCCCTCAGAAATTACCTGAGAAGCCAAACTTCTTTGTGTTAGTCAGTAACAGCCTTAAAGTCATTTTGTCTCTAGATGATTTATTTAGGTACATGAAGATGGAGCGTTCTCTCGCTAGACTGAGGCGGTCACCTTTGGGAGATCGACGGTCAAACCTCGGAGTTAAACACAACTGGACATGGTCACTGAATTGTTCTCACTGTGACCATCACACTGTGATATTCAAGACAGTTTTGCCTGAGTGTTGGATTTGATTTCATTTCACTGATGTGTCACCAATGGTCCAGGGTGAAGCTATCCCTCGACATGATACCATGGAGCAGCATGCTACAGAGGCAGCCAAACATGGTTAAGGGCCAGTAGAAATAAAGGTTTTCAGTATTAAACTAGGGTTTATTTCAAATGATCATCAGAGCTCTAGCCGTGGGTTGTGATAACTTTGTACTCACTAGCGTATTTGATGAGATTTTGAATTGCAGTAAAAGGTTCAACAGGGCAACACACAAGAAAGGTCAGATGACCAAACAGGTATTAAACAAACCCTCAGATTAGTCAGATTTATTTAGAAGAGAAAAATTACAAACAAACTGTTCTTTTTAAACATCCATCACGAGTTACACACCGACATCCTGGTTCAGCTTTGTCCTATTGTCCTTGCTGTAGCTGTGCACACTTGGCTTTCCTATATAATGTCAGATTATTAGCGACAATATACAATAGATTCACATTCACATAACATGGTTTAACCAAATTGGCAATCTAAGATTTCAGTAGTTATTTAGTGAGTATTCAGTGTTATCATAATTAATAGAACCGATAACCGGAGATTCAAAAATGAAACACAAGTCGTACTAAACCATAGTTTTTCTGTAATTCCTGAAGTAAAATGAGTTCGGATGAAACAAAACATCTTGAATGATAATAATGGCTATATATAATAAATGGCTGCATCTGTATGCTATACTGCACTTAGTATTTAAAGGGTCAGATCACCCACATTAGCAAACTCATCTCATCTTTTACCTCCTACAGTATCTAGCCATGCAGATAGTTTTGGTTTTATTTGTCTAAGTCTGGAGATTTCTGTCTCTGAGATGTCTGTCTTCATGTACCCAATACAACAGAGGTGAATGGACTTTTGTTCTGTGGTGCCTTAAAACGTTCAACAGCAACACCTCTTTCTTGAAATAATAACGTTATTCTGGATAGGGGTGGTGATGGGGCAGTGGAAAAGACACACGCCTTCGGTGTGAGAGACCCGGGTTTGAATCCACTGTAAGACACTAATGTGTCCCTGAGCAAGACACTTAACCCCCTAGTTGCTCCAGAGGCGTGCGACCTCCGACATATATAGCAATTGTCATGTAAATGTACGGTCAATTATTTTCAGTACCAAGGTTACTATAGTTTTGGATTTTTCATTAGTTTTTATTTTTATTTCGTTTTGACTTATTGTTTTCAATTTCTGCTTAGTTTTAATTAGTTTTTAATGTGGGTTTGCTAGTTTAGGTTAGTTTTTATTTTTGGAAAATGCTTAGTTTTAGAGTGAGTTTACACTACACTTACAGTACAATCAGAAATATTTGTGAAAAGGGACACCATTTTTTAAGCTGTCTGAAGCTTGTATACGGGCCCAAACACTAAGCAACACCTTATATATATTTGAAGTACTGACACATTGTCTAAATGAATACTACAAATAAATGAAGCACATGCAATCTACAGTATAATTTCTAACCTACATACAGAAAACCCTAAGAGCAAACTACCCTAATCATAGTATCCAGTGGTCCCAAGAAATCCATTACATCAGTCTCTAGCGCTATAATTATTGGTAAAATTGGTGAAATAATATAAATGGAGGTGAAATACAATTGATGGACAGCTAAAAAATGGGAAGATAGCGTAGGCCCCCCTTGGAGCCATAAACAACAGATCCCCAGCACCCTGAAGGCATGTATGACTGGAAAGCAGTTATATTAAAATCTAAACCTTTATTAATAAAAAAAAAAGGGATTAAAACAATGTGTAGCTCAAAGAGACAGTCTGGCTGAGATATCAATGACCCCATAAAACACACACTAGCTGATACGCAATAAATATAATGATCAGCAGACACGTTAACCCAGTGCAAGGGGAGCTCACAGTCAGTGGGCAAGGGACAAGTTTATCCCACACACAGGAACTAAACAAAACACAACTCCATACAGTTGTTGCATTCATATTATTTTGTACACATTTATGTATAAAAGATAACAGAAAACATGTTCAAATCGCACCAACTACGCAGCTGATTCCTACCTGGGTCTTCCCGACTACTTCAGCCTTCAGCCTCTCCTCGTAACAGCAGTCGCCACCTGCTACGCTGCGGCCAGACACAACCCCTGACCTGGTCGCTCTTGACAAACACGCAGCGTGCCAGCTCTTCACGCGGAGGACAAAAGCATAACACACCCGCGGCTCACCAACAAGTGCCTATCGGCTAATTACCACACATTGCTGAACTGCCGGTCCGGCCCATAGGACCGGCCAGACCAACTGCCCCGCAACGTCAGTTCCCCCGGCTTCATATCCACTCAAAATGTAGGCCTATAAATAAATAAACGAAAACTAAGGACATTTACTCTTTCATTTTAGTTAGTTTAACCTACAATACAGTTTTAGTTAGGTATGATTTTTTTTTGTAAAGTCTCGTTTTTATTTTTATTTCAGTCAACGACTGTTTTTTCACATCTAGTTTTCGTTATTTTGTTTGTCTTCATTAACAATTATAACCTTGTTCAGTACAGGCACAAAATAGTTCCATTAAAAACAGTTCACAGTGAGGTCTGTGGATTATTATGAGTGGGACAATTGAGAAGCCATTCACCTCCATTTTATTTGGGTGTGGGCAGAAATCTTGAAATTAAGTAAGAGAAGATGGTTTTTGTAATTTGGGTGAAATAATCCTTTTTGAGGGAAATTCAATTTAAGGGGACACTACACCCTGACCCCCCTCCCCCAGTCAACCTGTGTTGCCATTTGTCACTCTGAGCAGCCATTTGTGCTCTTTTGTCCCGCTCTCCTCCCACAGATTGATGTAGTCAACACCTTCAAGAGTGGCACCTCCTTTCAGGGGGCGGGGGCTCTGAGACGCCAATCATCCACCACCAGCCAGACCCAGGATGTAACCAATGTTTCTAGTCCTAGTCACGTGTCCTTGTCCAATGCCCTTTCCTCTCCTACAAGCACTACTGCTGCTACTGCTCCTCCTCCTACTGGCCGTGAGTCAGAACACTGTCAGTCTGCTTCTCTGCTCTCTTTGCTTCAGGGGTGCCATCATGTCATGAACAAAAAGTTATTTTTCTCTCCTCATTGTCTGGCTTGTAATTCTTAAAACAAATAACCATTTGGGGGTTGGCATCTCTGAAGATTTGTCTTTACTTTCTTGCTATCTGCTTTTTTCATTTCCTCTCTTTCTTCTTGTCTTTTTTTCTGTTCATACTGGATTTCAAATTCATCTTGATATCTCCTCCCATGCTTGGGTGTACTGTCCTCTCATTGGAGAATGTGTGTTTGTTTCCTCAGAGTGCTAGGAGCGCAGGACTAAGGGTGATACCCAAGGCGTGACATTTCAGGTTGTGAGTTTGTCTCTCTCTGCTCATCCCCCATCCAACCTCCCATCCTCCCATCCTTTCATTTTTATGTCTTGACAGGCATATGAACTAATTTCAATCAACTCACCAAGGGTCTGGGTAAACATTCAAGTATAAGTTGCAATGTTGTCTTATTCCGTCTGTGAGTTTGCCACTGATGAGGCAAATCACACTGAATTTAGCTGCAGCAGGTTTTACCTATTTCATGTGTTCTCCAGCTGACACATCATCCGCAATGACAAGAAAACATAAAGGAAGCTACAGTGTGTGTGGCAGACTTTAAAAAAACAAAAACAATGCTAGTTACTTTGCAATCTTTCAAATGGGGATCGTAAATGGTGCGACTAAAATCTGTCAGTGTGAGGGACTATATCTGCTTAATGTTTTTGTCCACCTTCATCTTTCCTTTCTTTCTCTCTCTTTTACACACACACACACAAACTTTGTCTCTAATCTTTATCTGCTTGATGAAAGTCAGATGTAAAACTCTGCTTAGGGTCTGTGGAGTCACCATAAAGCAGTACCGCACCAATAATTCATTCCGTCTTGTCGCTTCATATTGTCAGTGTAGTTGACTGTCATGTTGCTATAGTTACGGACATAGATCTCTGCAGCACCAGCGACATTAATTCAACCCCCCACCTTTTTCTGACACCCCATCAGTGTTACTTGTCAGACATCCTGTCACATGCACTCATCCAGACAGGCTCCTCTTATTATTTGTCTTTATCTGTTTTATGTCCATGCGCTGCTACAGTTACTTGAGTAGCAGTACTATAATATTTACAGTATATACAGTATTACCATACATACACAAAAACCTAATATCTTTGAGGTTTTTTGTGCACTGTTAATGTATGTGTCATTTCAAGCAAAACAATTAGAACAACTTCCCATGGAATAGAAAAAACGATAATATCATACTTACATTTTAGGGAGGGTGGCACGGTGGTACAGTGGTTAGCACTGTCACCTCACAGCATGAAGGTTGTGGGTTCAAACCCCGGTTTCCCTGGCCTTTCTGTGTGGAGTTTGCATGTTCTCCTCGTGTCTGTGTGGGTTCGCTCTGGCTTCCTCCCACCATCCAAAGATTGGCTCCAGCCCCCTGCGACCCTGTATGCAGGATAAGCAGTTGACAATGGATGGATCAATCAGAAACACAGGATATTCACTTGTTACAGCTTTGCAAATCTGAGTATTTACTGCTTTATATCAATTGATTGCTTTTGGGGTTTTAGATTACTGTTTGGGCAAAACAAGCTGTTTTTTTAGATTTTGGAAACTGTGATGAGCATTTCATAGACAAACAAACCATTGAAAACCATTTAGCAATAATAAATGACCATTAGTTGCAGACCTAGAAATATTTGTGTCTGCTGATACATATACAGTATTCTGAAACAATTGTACTATTCACAAGTTTTCTTTTGTTAACAATTAAAACAACTATTGTTTTATTCACAAACTGAAGATTAGAGAAGTAGCATTTTCACTGACATACCGCTTTTGTACAGTATATATCCCAGTGTGCTGACATGAGTCAATGTCCTGTAAAAGCAAAGTATCATATAATATCTTTGTAGTTATCAGTTTATGGGTGTGGATCCTACATTTCGGCATCTGCAATACTCATAATCCACAAATTGAAGGAACAGATGACATACAGATACTACTATCCTCTCTAAAGTTTCACATAGTTGTTTGGGGCCTATACTTGAGTGTTTACTTAGACGTGCATGGAGTTGAAAACATGCTTTGACTGTCAGACGTCTTGACAGTAAACTTATTACTTTCATTATTCACTTCCATATGTTTTGTGTCAGCAATCTGTGTGCCGGTGTCCACTTCTTCACTGTCCTGTTGTCTTGTTGCATGTAGTTTGTGTTTTACCCCTTGTTTACTTCCTGTGTTCATATAGACTTAACCTGCAGTGTTCGCTCTCTAAATGCCACTGTGTGCTTTTTTTTCTTTGGATGTGTCATTTTGTTGTGAGTTTCCCACCGCAATGCTCGTGTTGAACCAACCTCCTCCTGCAGGCTTGAGTTTGACTCTCATCATTGCCCTGTTTGGGACCATGCTTCACCCACCCTGTGCTATATTCGTGTGTTTGTGTGACCCATTCAGAGTCTGTGTGGATATTGTCCCAGACAGTGCTCTGGTGCCTCCAGAAGTTTTTTGAACCACCTGATTGGATCTCACAGATCTAACCTCCTTCCTTCTTACTGACCTCGTCCACCAGATTTCTTCAAACTTGCATGTGATATTCTCCTTAAATTTTTTCTGTGAGCATTCCATTTATTAACGTGGCTTGTTTCTAGGTATACAGCACATTGGACTAAAGCGTATACTTACAACGAGCGTTTGTGTTGCTTTGGTATTTGTTTTTCTTGAAATGTATGATTTTGTTGTGGGTTTTATTTTATGAGTGTGTTCCTCACGGCTTTTCTTAGTGCACGCCAAAATTGAGTGACTTGTGAACTGTAGTCATCTTGTGAAAGCAGAATACAGACTGCAGTTGCCTTTTCTCTTGTTGCTCTATCACCTTCTCCTCCTTCACCTCTTTGAGAGGTCCCCCCTCTGTCCCTCCTCTCTCCCGTCTCCCTCTTTCCTCTCTTTCCGAGGGTCCCTCCAACCCTTTCGTTTTGTCTCTAACATCTGATCATTTGTCTTCTTTTTCCTCCCCCTTTTTTTACGACAGATCCGTGTTGTGAATGCATTCCGTAGCTCCCTCTATGAAGGCCTGGAAAAACCAGACTCCAGATCATCCATCCACAACTTTATGACACACCCCGAGTTTAGGATAGAAGACTCCACGCCCAACATCCCCCTCATCGACGACACAGACGATGATTCTGCTCGGAGGAGGGGGAAGTACTCCAGCCAGCCCACGTCCCCCAACAAGAATAACAACGCCATCGACAGTGGCATCAATCTCACCATCGACACCAGTAAATCAGCCGCTTCCTCCAGCCCCGCAAGCCCTCTTCACAGCTTGGAGACCAGCCTCTAACCCTGATCTTAACTTCAGCTCTAACCTCTAATGTCATTTCCTTGCAGTCTGTGGGACACCTCCTATTCCTCCAGACCTTTAACTGCAATCTTACACCTTGTCATCACCCCAGATATTTCACCCAGCCCAGCCCCAAATTTACCACCTACACAGGACGGGTCCTGTGGCAAAAATCTTCATCTTTCCCTGTTAACCTTGAGCTCTTAAAGCTTGCCCGCTCCTCTCGAAATGGAGAAAATCTAAAGTAATATGGCAAGGTGAAAAGGAAAACATACTTAACATACAATCAAAAAAGCGCAACAAAGCTACAAAACCTACACAGCCATCCTGCTTTTATGGTTGTATGTGTACGGTGGCAGCGGCGGTGGTGTGTATGACTATATGCGTGTTAGCATGTACTGTATTAGCGTGTCGCAGACTGCACATATGTATGAACTGTGTCTTTAGTGGCACCGGGAGGAGGACGATGAGGAGGGAGACACTGCTGAGGAGTAAAAATCACGAAACAGGACAGGACTCTAAACTCCCCTTAACACTCCCTCTCATCAATAATAACATTGTCAATACTGAAAGTAGTTTAAATTAAATTGAAAAACATTGTTATTATTCTGATTCTCATTCTGATTATTATTGTTATTATTATTGTTGCTCCTGCATGAATGTACATTACCCAAGTTTTATTTAAAAGGGTTTTAATTTTATTGGAGTTCTTTCATTCTGATGGGCTAGGCCTTTGCGGCGGACTACTATTTTAAAGACAGCTTCTATGAGTTCCTGGCCTGCAAAGTTCCCTCTTCTGTGTGGCATGAACATGTATCCGACTGTAAAAATTTATTTCATCCATAAACAGAAATGTGTAACGAGGTGGCAGGGCTCAACTTGCACAGTAGTTTTGCACCTGTCGTAAAAGAGGAACGCAAAATAAAAATGATGATGATAGCATTTATGGGATATATTCTATAAATATAAATATATTTAGAGAGAGTTTATCTTTGTTTGTCGGCATGTTGCCTTGTTCCTGCTTCAATGGCTCAAAATACTTTTGACTTATTTATGTCTTAAAGAGAATGTAATTTGTTTACAACCTCGTAGAGATAAACTTCCTGGTTTCTAGAAGGAGAGAGGCAAGGCTGAAGGTCAGAAGGACCAGAGCTGTTTCGGTGTGTTATTACTGAAAAACCATGTGCTGGAATTTGCCTGCTATCTTTTCAAATATTGTAGATATTTTTAGAGGATTGACAAACAAAAAGAAACCAAAATATAATGGGATACGTAGTAAATGTGGAATCTTAGTATTACTCTATATGATTGTTGGGATTAAGTTGGAGGGGCTTGCCTTTTCTAAACGGAGGCCTCCTTTTTGTGACAGAGGGGGAATATTTAAATCTTTTTTCACTACTTCTTCTTCTCTTTTTTGTTTTTATTGTGCTTGTTTTTTTCTGTGCTTCAGCACTGGCCTGGGGTCAGGGCTCGAGTCAAAAGCTGATATCAGGACCTTTACAGTGAACTGTCTTCTAGATAAACCTGCTTGTTTAAAGGACTTGATGTTTTAAAAATATATGTGACCATCAGAAAGGCTGCAATCGAGTCATTTTAGAAATCTGCAAAGTTATATTTGGCTTATCTGTGCCGCACAGAAATCACTTCTTTTGTTTAAAATTTGAAATATAATGTGTTATTTTTTTATTTTATTTTTATTTTTGATTTATGTTTAGGGGTCTAAATGATTTCCTTTTCACTCGCAGCCCCACACAATTGTTGGCATTTTTAACATCCATAAAAAAAAAGGAAAAACTGATAAAAACACCCTCCCCCAACAAATTACAACAAAAATGGAATGTTGCTTTGACTCTTTTTCTATATATAAAAAAGATGATCCTTTTCTGCACTATCTGGTTATGAATGAAAACTTCTGTGGTGTAATTCTAGATGTGCTTTTGTGTGTTTTAAACAAGCTTGTCTTCCTGCCGTCACAGAATATACAGTACTCTAGCATCTCAACTGTACTCACTAGTTGTAAACTATTTATTGTGCTTTTACAAATCAGACATTACCAGAGAGACGTTACATGCAGAAGGCACATTTACCCTGTCTTATTGCACTCAGAAGGACAAGGCCACTTAACTAGCCTGTACTATTGTTATTTCTATTACTAACTGAAGTAATTGGCAAGCATGACGCGATAGACTCATTATGCAACTTGAAAAAAAATTGACAATTTTTCTACTTTTAAAGAAATCCTATACACTACTACAGTATATCCGATCATTTATCCGAGCAGTTCTATCTTTTTTATATCCTCCTCCTCTGTCATTTCCCAGTCGATCCGTCCATCTGGAGAGGGTGCACAAGCTTTACCGGTCAGGCGTGTTGAAAAAATAACATGGACCATTTGAATAAAATCTGTCTTATTTAAGTTGGGAAAAAAGTCTGGATTCTGATATTCTGCTTAAAAGCTGTTGATTTACTTTGTTTTCTTTCCAACATTTTTAACTTCACAATTTATTTGTATGTCTGTAAAAAAAAACAATAAACAAAACATAACAACAGCAACTACAGCATTTTCAATAAAAAAAGAGACTTAAGCCAATATTCTCAAACCACTTTTACATCCAGGAGGACATTCAGCTTTAAGAGGACGCAAAGACGACAAGTTTAAAAATAATCTTTGTAAATACAGCAATGAGTCCACTGAGGACAGAAACTCCATGTGGACTGGTGTGAAAAACAGGAACTCTTCCTGCCTACATCTACCATCATGCACCACAACGAGTCATACTGCCGACGCAGCTGTTTGGCCGTATGTAATCAATCACTGCTCCTGTCAGAAACACTTCAAAACATAGTGATTACATCCAAATGATAACGTGTTGTAACAACCAATAATTATGTTGACGATGACACCGACGATGATGATGATGATGATAATGATAATGATGATATCGATACTTTTTGCAATATACTCTCACCTGCCTCGATGTACTGTATTTAGCAGCATGCAGTTTGTGGAACAAAGAAAAAGAGAAATGCCAACAGATATCTTTTTGGCATACTTAGCCATTTATGGGTAAGTGATTTACGTGTTCATCTTGTTTTTATGATATTTTTTTTATCTATACAATAATTGTAAATAAAGAACTCAATGTCTTTGTTCATTTAATACTATGCAAAAAGTCATGCTTTTCTGATTGTTACCCACCTTTAATCCTAGAGTGTGTTACTGGAATGTTTGTGGTCTCAAAAGTCAGTAAAAACAATGTGATGTAAATTATTTTCTAGCTTGAGGAAAAAGTTAAATGATGATGAAAATTATTATTATGATAATATGAGGAAGATGATCATAATGGTGGTGACAGTGACGATGATGATGATGATGATGATGATAATGATGATGAACTGTGACTCTTGTTGCTTGACTGTCCCATTTACAACACTCCTGACAGGAGCGCAAGTGAAAAACAGAATAAAAACGAAAAATCACTAAATAAATCTCCCAGAGCAGCATGACCCAGCATGGTGTGTCCTGGCCCCGTGTGACATGTCCTGTTCTGATTCGTTGTGCTTCACCTACCGGTGTCCACTTTCACTTTGATTGTTTTTACCATTTTCGTTGATTTGTTACAAATGGATGGGCTTATAGCATATATATGTTTGGGGTTTGTAGTTTGATTGCCAAAAGAAGCTCTTGATATAATACCCTTTAAGCCAGTGGGTCCCAACCTTTTTACCTTAAAGTTAGGCAATACTGGGGTTACATCCCTGATTCAAGTCTGGCTGCCTTTTGTTGCATGTCATTCCCTGTCTTTCTCCCACCTTTTCCTCTGGCTGTACTGTCTACTCTCCAATATAGGCATAAAAATAGAACCACTGTCTATTTTCATTGAGTTTCAGCAAAGAGTGAATTTGAGATTGTTAGAGTAGAGGCCTGATGAGGTAACCCTATCCGGTATTCACATGATAAATAGATACAAAACTGAATGTCTGCAGCCTTGCTCTGTAAGGCTGTCCTTGGGCATAGTGGTTTCCTGAGCTAAATGCTAATGGCACATGCTAACATGAAAACACAATGATAATGCGAACATGCTGATGTTTACCATGTCCCCCTGTCTTTGCACAACTGACCTTATGGGAATGTCATTAGTTTTGCAGGTCATAAACCAATGAATTGGCCTGCTGGTGGTGCTAAATGAAAATTCAGAAGATCACCAAAGTCAGTAGGATTTATCCTCAAGGGATCACGATTGTCTGTACAGAATTTCACAGCAATCTATTTTATAGTTGTTGAGATATTTCATTGTGGACCAAAGTGGTGGACCAACTGATTAACCATTGCCATCTTTAGAGTCATACTGTGTGTGGCCAAAAAAAAGCGGATTAGAAAAATTATATTCTATATTAATAATATTTATTTACACTTCACATTCACTCTGTTCAAGACTTTCATATGATGAAGCTGCCGGCTCCACTGGAGCAGTGAAGGGTCTTGCTCAAAGGCACAAAGGCAGCAGTTTTTTTTCACTTCTCCAACTCTGGCGCCATGTTGGGAATCACTACCTGCAACAACCATGTTCTTTTAATATGTTGCTGTTTGTATGCTGCACTTCTCTCTACAGTGGTTATAGTGTTGTGATCATTACACTCTTGAAGTCATTCCATACGACACTAAGCATGTCATATACTATTTTTGAAAGCTTTCCTTGGATTTTGAAAAGTTGTAGTGAGGTTTAACACGGTGACATGGCAAATTTCTTCCCATTACTTAAAATTGCTGATGTCTGCTGCATGCTGAGAAGGCATTGTGCAGGATTGTCCCACCCAGTTTATGATGGGGAGGAAGGGGTGATGGTGTCTGAAGAACATCAGAGCACTGACTTAATCTCCTTTCCATTTGAATTAAAATGGCACTATGCCTGGCATTTGAAATGGAAAGGCATAGCACAAATCTGCTGAGCATGTTGAGCTGACTGTATCCTCCAAAAATGATGACAGGCCCAAACTGTTTACCCATGAGAGACAGACGGATGGAAACCAAGTGCCAACCCAGCGCTACTCCCAGTCACTGAAGACATGATTACTGAAAATCTGAGTAGCAGATGGGGCTCCTTGTATAATACAAAGTTTTATCTAAATGTCTATGTCCACTGGAGGGCAGCATTTCACTAGAGATAACTGAAGACATTGTTAGTTCCGGTTCATCCATTTCTCTTTAGCATCAATGTTATTTAATTATAAGGGAAAGGTCATCATGATTTAGACACTTGGTGGTGCAAAGGAAACAAAAGAGGCAGTGGAATAAGAAATCATGGTCACCTTCAACTCACTTGTCTTTTATTCTGAAAGTTTTATCATTTCAGTCTCCAGACTGAATCTTGAATATTGATCTTAATGGAAAATGTATCTTGAATGTTTACTTCATTGTAGTCTGAAAGTTGAATGTAGCGATAGTCAAGTTCAGATTCAAAGCCTTACATACAATTTTAAATGATTAAACCTGCATGAATTGAGCTGTAAATACAATGTGAAGTCATTATCACCTTCTAAAGTTGATATGGTGAAAATATTTACAAGCAGCTGCTGATTTAATCCAACAGACACAGAGCAACATTAGCATTTATTTAAAGTCTTGTTTCTGTCCTCCTGATGAATATAAGTTCAGTACTTACTCTCTTTTTGGCTCTTCACCAACTCCTGAGGGAAATATCTGGCTCTTTAGCTGCTTAATTGTCCACCATGTTCACAAGCTAGTTGTTAACTCTGTCTGTGTGTCAGCTCAAACACTCCGTTAGAGCTTAGGGGGACCGCAAAGTTGAGTAATAATTGTCTTATATCTAAATATATCTATAGGAGCAACTCCTTTCAAATTGCACACGGTCATTTGATCCATTGTTGTAAAATACTGAGTTGAATAGCTTTAAATAAAAATTCAGTTGTACAAATTCAGTTTCTTGGGCCACTAATCTCTCCCCAGTAAAATATCCATCCATCGTCAACCGCTTATCCTGCGTACAGGGTCGCGGGGGGCTGGAGCCAATCCTAGCTGACATCGGGTGAAAGGCGGGGTACACCCTGGACAGGTCGCCAGTCCATCGCAGGGCCACGCGTAGACAGACAACCACTCACGCTCACCCTCACAAAAATTAACCTAGTCTGCATGTCTTTGGACGGTGGGAGGAAGCCGGAGCACCCAGAGAGAACCCACGCAGACATAGGGAGAACATCACATTAGACGTAGCACCCTAGAACAGTTTTAGATTGTGTTGCTGTGCTGTCTACAGTATAATGTGTTTACTGTCAATGAGGAGACCACAGAATAATAATTTAAAGTGTATCAATGTATCCAGTGATGCATACTGTATATGAGTTTTCAAATGAAAGGTACTGTATGCTTGATAAATGGTGGTCATGGTCGCAGTTACTACACTGCTCAAAAAAATAAAGGGAACACTTAAACAACACAGTGTAACTCCAAGTCAATCACACTCCTGTGAAATCAAACTGTCCATTTAGGAAGCAACACTGATTGACAATCAATTTCACATGCTGTTGTGCAAATGGAATAGACAGCAGGTGGAAATTATAGGCAATTAGCAAGACACCCCCAATAAAGTAGTGGTTCTGCAGGTGGTGACCACAGACCACTTCTCAGTTCCTATGCTTCCTGGCTGATGTTTTGGTCACTTTTGAATGCTGGCGGTGCTTTCACTCTAGTGGTAGCATGAGACGGAGTCTACAACCCACACAAGTGGCTCAGGTAGTGCAGCTCATCCAGGATGGCACATTAATACGAGCTGTGGCAAGAAGGTTTGCTGTGTCTGTCAGCGTAGTGTCCAGAGCATGGAGGCGCTACCAGGAGACAGACCAGTACATCAGGAGACGTGGAGGAGGCCGTAGGAGGGCAACAACCCAGCAGCAGGACCGCTACCTCCGCCTTTGTGCAAGGAGGAGCAGGAGGAGCACTGCCAGAGCCCTGCAAAATGACCTCCAGCAGGCCACAAATGTGCATGTGTCTGCTCAAACGGTCAGAAACAGACTCCATGAGGGTGGTATGAGGGCCCGACGTCCACAGGTGGGGGTTGTGCTTACAGCCCAACACCGTGCAGGACGTTTGGCATTTGCCAGAGAACACCAAGATTGGCAAATTCGCCACTGGCGCCCTGTGCTCTTCACAGATGAAAGCAGGTTCACACTGAGCACATGTGACAGATGTGACAGAGTCTAGAGACGCTGTGGAGAACGTTCTGCTGCCTGCAACATCCTCCAGCATGACCGGTTTGGCTGTGGGTCAGTAATGGTGTGGGATGGCATTTCTTTAGGGGGCCGCACAGCCCTCCATGTGCTCGCAAGAGGTAGCCTGACTGCCATTAGGTACCGAGATGAGATCCTCAGACCCCTTGTGAGACAATATACTGGTGCGGTTGGCCCTGGGTTCTTCCTAATGCAACACAGTGCTAGACCTCATGTGGCTGGAGTGTGTCAGCAGTTCCTGCAAGAGGAATGCATTGATGCTATGGACTGACCCGCCCGTTCCCCAGAACTGAATCCAATTGAGCACATCTGGGACATCACGTCTCGCTCTATCCACCAACGCCACGTTGCATCACAGACTGTCCAGGAGTTGGAGGATGCTTTAGTCTGGAAGGATATCCCTCAGGAGACCATCCGCCACCTCATCAGGAGCATGCCTAGGCGTTGTAGGGAGGTCATACAGGCACGTGGAGGCCACACACACTACTGAGCCTCATTTTGACTTGTTTTAAGGACATAACATCAAAGTTGGATCGGCCTGTAGTGTGGTTTTCCACTTTGATTTTGAGTGTGACTCCAAATCCAGACCTCCATTGGTTGATAAATTTGATTTCCATTGATAATTTTTGTTTGATTTTGTTGTCAGCACATTCAACTATGTAAAGAAAGGAGTATTTAATGAGATTATTTAATTCATTCAGATCTAGGATGTGTTATTTTATAACCTTTATTTTTTTGAGCAGTGTATAATTAAGATGCAGGCCATTTGTTCACAGTGCCATTAGTGCAAAATAAGATGTGGATTATTAATTGACTGCCGCCTGGTTAAACACTCTCTGACTAGAAACAGACCCAGGCTCAGATCATTGTTAATGATGCAAAAAAGAGAACACAGGGTCAGTGTATAGTTGTAATAATGGTGTTTGTCTGAGGGTAATGACTATCTCTCCTCACTGGAATGACCATCATCACCAGAATGTACTATAAGCTGGAACTGTATATTTGTGTGCATGCATGCGTTTATACTGTTTGTGTTCGGTCCATTAAAGCCTCCATGTGTTGACTTTCTCATGTCATTTCTGCATCTTTAAAATTATTCAGTTGGTAGAAGTTTTTGTCTGCAGACATTTGAGACAATCCAACATGTTGAGGTGGTTTGAAAGACTCTGCATCTGTGAAGGTTGACATCTTTTTCTTAGGCTTAAACAGCCAAGTGTAAATAATGGAGAAAACAATGTGTTTGTCTGCACTAATGTAAGCACCAAATGTTAACATGTACAGCTAAGTAA